GAATACAATTATTATATAATAATATTATGACGCTATACCTAAAGGTTTCTGCATGCAACGACCGAGAACGTACATAGGTGTTACATGCGCAAGCACGCGATAAGTACATATTTTTCGTTTTTTATTACATATAAATCCCAGCCCTACTCATATGCAATATACGAGTATATATATATAAATCAATTTGTGTTTTAATTTTTTATTAATGTAGGCTAATATTTTATAAATTGAAGATAAAGAATATTAAATGGCGAAGATAAAGAAATACTTTTTTATACTTTTAAAACTTTTTTAACCTTTTTTTAATACTTAATTATTAAATGATAAAATTTGTCGAAAATCACCAGTTAATAAAATGAGTGCTCCATCAAAGAGGTGTTGATTTTCATTTAAGTCTTTCAGTGTACAATCAAGCACTTCTAATGATTTTTTGTGAGCCATTGTGAATTTCGTCCTATACATGATAAATTTACATGCTTATAGAATTTTTCACATCCCTGAATTGTCGATGATATTGCATATTAGCTAAGAGTCCCAGATTTGTTTTTTAAAAATATGGGACATTTTAAATCATACTTATACTTGTAATTTACACTGGTGTTAATGTTGAGAGAGGATGAGGGGATTTATATTAGCAATTATTAACATATTACAAAATGAAATGGTATGTGATAGGTATTTGTTGTACTAATTCTTTGTAAAAAATTAGTAGCTAAAATTACATTTGGCCTCGATGTATAATCTCATTTTCCTTACAGTTACTAAATAGTAATATAGGTACTATAAAATTAAATTAAATACAATCATAATTAAATGATAATTATTAATTATCATTTGATTTAGATATTATAGTTTGTTAATAATTTAAAATTTAAAAAAGCTAAATGATATGAAAAAATTTAATTTTTAAAATAACGTCCATACAGGGAAGATTATCTAAAATACGGAACAAAAGTGTTATTTTTAAACTTATGTCGGGAAACCGGGACGTTCATTCAAATGCGAATGCATGGAATCCCTAATGTTGGCGTCTTACTATAGTTTGCAAATTAAGCTGCAATTTTAGTGCTGAATGCGTTATTCGATCACCATTCAAAAGTGTTCCAGCGATTTCACATGATGCATTTAAAAATGCAATTTTATTTAATGATCGAATGTGTTGCCTGTATTAACCAGCGTATTTATAAAGTACAATTCGCCACTTAAATTTGATATTGTGCTTGCATTCAGTGGCGTGTCGTACATGTGTGCGATGTGTGCAAATTCAACGGGCCCTCAAATTGGGGGTACCCATATTGCTTAACGTTCCACAGAAAAAAAAAAATTAAATAAACAGTTATTTACGAAAAAATAAAAAAATTGTTTTAAATTTCAAATGGTTCTCATTTTCTCAATCTGATATCAGTATAATATCATCTTTGTTATAAAATATAGATATTGTATTTCTGTGATGTACTGTACTTCTGTGATAGCGACTAAACATTATTTACAGCAATCTGTTTCACGTGGTTTTTTGTTATCGCCTTGTCGCTTATAAGCCGTCGTATTATAGACAATTTTATCGTTCCGATTTTGTTTTAAAAAAGAAATTACAAAACGAACATCGGTAAAAGCAATTACCGAATTACTTGTTATAAAGAACCCCACATTAGCAATAACATTTTCTGAAATATGTACAGCGTGCATGTTATTTTTGACACTTCCTGACTCCTGTAACAATTGCTATAGCAGAACGATCATTTTCAAAATTAAAACTGATCAAAAATTATTTACGGAGCATAATGTGCGAAGAAAGATTCAAGAGACTTGGAATTTTATCTATTGAAAACGACCGAGCTCGTTAGTTAAATTTAAAAGAAATAATTAATAATTTTGCAGAAAAAAAAGCATGCAAACGAAATTTCCATTGAATTATTATATTATTATTAGGTACTATATTCTTATCATTATTTATAGATATATTATGTTATTTTATTTGTATGACGTAATATCATTTTATTTTTTGTGTAATTAAAATTTTAGTAAAAATGGAAAGTACCTTGTGAATTTGCATAAGAATTTTAGAATAATAATTTTTACTTTAAATTTGAATTTATATATCTGTATCTACATTTAGAATAAAAAAAAATGAAGGGGGCCTTTTTTAAGGTTTGCACACATGCCCATCTTTGGGATAAACCGCCACTGCTTGCATTATTGTATCATTTACAATATGTTGTTCTGAAACCAATTTCGAAAAACTCGTTTCATAAAATGTGCCCAAATCATTGATATAAAAGTGTATTTCAGCTAAATTTTATGGCGATTGGATAATAAGCGTAGGAATGCATAAAGCCATAAAGGACAAAAATACATAAATTCGCTTTTATATAGTATATAGATAAATATATATTTTAAGTGAAGTACAATTGAATTGATATGAAACTATAAACTATGTTTATTGTTTAGTAGTAGTATAACTACTATCTAGTTGTTAGATAGTAGATAACCATACTGATAATAACTTTAAGTGCAAAAATTAGTAGAGTATCTATTAATTATTATTATTATTATTATTTTATTTAATTAGTGTTGCTTAATAATATAACAATGCAAATTGTTTTTACGATGTAAGTGATTATAATATTATGAGTTATTGGTACAGGTTTGACACAAATAAAAAAGCGGTGACACGTTTTAATATCTATTATAACCTAGATATTCATAACTTTTTATTTTAAGTACCTCATGATAAATAATTGGAAAAAGATTAATCATAGTTTATTCTATTTATATTTAGTATACTATAAAATATTTTTCAAATGATCATTACTAATTACTAATTACTTATACGTATATTAATAAAATTACTTAAGTCATATATAAATAATATACAATTATGAGATGTAAATTATTATTGAAATGTATGAATGAAAAATTTAAATTAAATGAATTAACAAAATCCAAATGGCTGTTATTTGTTAATATAAAGTTAATAGCTGTATTTTTGTGTGCAGAGTCCTTGAGTTTTAAGTTTTTTGATCGTGATAAAAATGTTTAGTCATAGACCATAGTGAATACATCTAGATTCATGATTATAATACATTTTAATGTGGTCGTAGTCTTGGAGAGCCGTGGAAATGAGATAAGACTCTTTGTGAATGAAGCCACACCCATTTATGTTTTTCCTTCTTACATAGTTACATATATAATATACAACAGCAAATTTGCGTTTAATAAAACTCATTATGTGTTACTAAAGAAAATTAATCTATTATCAAAATTAAACATTAAACATTTTCAGTGTCGTGTAGCATTGATTTTTTTTTTGATATTTTAATTTTTAAGCAAAATAATATTATCAACTTTGATTTTAAGTCTGCAATTTACTTTAATATTAAAGTCAACAACATATTATACAATTGGTTTTACTAAACGTAAATTTGTTGTGTTGTATATTATGTTTATAACATTATAACACATGCGGGTATGGTGTCCTTTTAAGTTAAAATTTTGACGAAATTGGATTTTTAAATTAAATATTACAATTTTTCTTCATTCAATTTTAGTTATTATGTTTTAACTAAAAATGTACATTGTATGGACTTGAAACCTTTTACCATTAGTTGTTTTATTATTTTCTATACATACAATGGAATTTTATAAATATTCATATCATAGGTAATTCTAAGATAATTAATCTTTGAACATTGAACCTACTTACATTATTCTATTTTACCTACGTTAATATTGACTATTATAATAATTATATTTTGTATGCTATTTTATTGACAAAAATTTATTCAATCTATTATCTATTGAGTTGAAAATTTTTTTAACAATAATTCAAATATAATAAAAGATAAACTATCCTTAGATATAAATGCTGATCCACCAGTCTCCTCCAGTCAAAATCGTTTTTTCAATTATCATGATTGATCATTGATTTCGAATAAACTCAACATATTTATTACAGTGACCTTGCAACGAAAATGTATTTGCACCTAAAATCTACTTTTAAATCTAGTTCAAGCATGCGAAAACAGATACCTTGGGCCAAGTAGAATGTAGATACTTTATCGATTTTTACATGCTTAATCTATTTTAATATTAATTTTTTCTTTTTTTTTTTTTTCATTCCATCGATCAACGTATAATCGTACCACAAAAAAGTATATAAGTTCAAACACACTAATTATGCTTGCGCCAAGAAATAATCCTAAGGATCCACCAATATTACCTAAAAAAAAAAAAAACATATATTATTTATGTTTATATTAAATTAAATAAACTATACATCCCAACTATTAAGTTTTTTTAAGAAATTAATTAATACAGAATGAAGTGCATTGCACTAAACCTACGTATATATAGAGTTTGAAAGTTTTAAATTAAAGATGAGATTCATAATTTTTATTGTAAGTATTTTAGGTAACTAAAGTAGGATATATTTAATTAAAACAGTCAAAGAACTGATATTAGAAAAATTAATATTAAAAAACGCCACACCCACATGTATTGTTTCCCTTTTACAAATATACATGGAAAATTTTCGTTCAATAAAATCAATTTTTCATGTTAAATATAAATATTAGAGTAAAATGACTTATTATCAAAGTTAAAGATAAGCAGTAATGGTGCGTGAACACTATTTACAATGAGACTTAAGTTTTGTTTAAATATTGGTTATTTAATATTCATAAAAAATTTTACTTGAAAAGCTAAATAATTTCGAATATACTAAATTATATTTTTGATAGATAATTATTCAACTTCATTAAGATTTATAAGTTATAAATTTGAATTACTAAAAAATATTGATGTATTGAAAAGTTTATTATACTTATATATTAGCCATAGATGGACATATATATGCCGTAGGGTGTAAGTATACAATATTACGTTATAAGTTTAATAAACAAAAATATATGAAAATTATAAATTTGTTTTATTGTCATGTTATAATTATTAGGGAAACGCCATCTCAAAGTCTCCCCTGACACACCACCCATTAGATAAGAACATTATCTGTTCTCTCGTCGTTTTTTTTATGATCCTATAATTTGTAAGCGAGTGTTAAGTATCTAAAGTAATAAATATTTAATAATAAAATAAAATATTTAACATTAATAGCAGGTCATTTCTACTTGATACTTAAGTTTAACATACAAATTGATTTTATAAAACGAAAATTTACTATATTCTAGGTATATTTGTGAGATGAAGACAACAAACGCGGGTGTGGCGTCCTCTTAAAAGAAAATGAAAATAGGTATATTAAGATTAAATGTATCTATTAAACAATACACTTCTTATATCTTATAATATGAAAAGAATAAGCAGTTAATTAAATAGTATAGTGTATTGTAGACAGCAGCGGTATCTTTACTTACCTAATAATTCATTTACTGGTATTAAAGCAGTTCTTTGTACATTCCGCAAATTTCTTTTATAGTACATAACTACAATCGATTTCAATCGATTTCTATAAAAACAAATAAAAGAAATGTAAAAATAAAAAACAAAGTAGGTAATATTTAAAAATCACAAAATTATTAAATATTTCAACCGTTTTTGGGGGTTTTTAACGTTCTTTGTTAAATTCTTATGTGTGTACACAACGTTATGATTGAATCTGAGTTCTGAGCAAACATCTAAACAATTACAATGATTTGTAGTATTTATGTTAAACACATTATTGTCAAAGATTGAATAACCTAAAATAAAATGTAATATTGCATTAATTATTAAATTTTGTATTGTTATATATTTTAATGTATGTAGTTTACCATTATTTGAATACTGTAGCATACATTTGTAACTTTCAGAACCACAAATTGGAGTGTTTACATATCCTTTAAATATATAACATTATTTTTATAAATAATTTTTTTAACTCAAAAAGATGGAGTTGTTATTTTCTCCTAGACAGTTTCATGAAGACAAAAATCGGAGAGATAGGGATCACAGTATTAATATTAAATCAACTTTTCATAAATATGATTATATTAGTTTTAACCACTGACTTAAATGTTTTCTTTTAAATAATATAAATAGTACAACAACTACAATTTAAACCAATGAATATAGATACCAATATTATACGTACTATACTGTTATATATACAAAAGATATGCTTACTTGGGTGGTAGAAAGCCACACAACCACACATCTTTAACGAATTATTGGCTCTACACTCAATTTCACAGTTATTAACTGTATATATTTTGAAAAACTTTAAAATCCTCTCATGCTGATAATAACAGTGTCGAATGTCCGGTTTCCAACTAGATATACTTTCAGATATTGATACCAAAGTAAATGTTGTTGTGATATAAGCTATATTATTCACAGAAATATAAGCTGTAGGCTTAATATTAGCAGGCACATCAACCGGACTATGTAAAAATAGCTAGAACACATTAAAGTAACAAAGCATTTTATAAGTTATAACTTATAACGTTAATACCATTCAAAATTGTATATTTTTTATGTAACAAATAAATTTTAAATGAGTAGAAATATTCTATTCTGTATTTAAAAAATTGTATGCAGTTACCGTCATTCCTTTATCAGTTTTAGGACAGTGATTTCCAGTTTTTTCATTTTGTAAATTGAATCTCATTATAATAGAATCTTCGACAGTATCACCTATAACTTTCCATGGTAAATTAAATGTCTGTGCGTTTTCATTAAAACCAAATTCTGGATTCCATGCAGTTTCTTTTGAATTTGTTATAATATCTGCTTTAATATGATTCAAATTCGATAACCTATACACGTGATATAAATATTAAGATGTATATAATGTGAAATATGTAGCGTCTCTATGATGCACGAATTGATCAAGGGTCTTAATTTTGATTTTTTATGAAATAGGCACCTATAGGCTATAATAATCCAATAACAACTTACACTTGATTATAACCATTATCAAGCAGTTGATGAAAAGGAATCATATTCAATGAATAACAAACTCCGTAAATTGTATATATTGGTTGGAAATATTGACAAGGTACGTAGATTTTTTCTCTGACCCAAGTTATTGAAATAACATGTTGTTTACAAAAAACTCTATGAGCCTTAAGAAAATAAATAGATTTATTAATATCATATATTTTATAAGTTACCATATATCGTATTGTAAATTTAATTTTTGACTAATCGTTTGAAATAAAAATCAAAACTTTTTTTGGTTAACAGTTTTGAACGAATCAAATTTACAACATATAGGCATATATAGTTATGTAATACAGTAATGTATATTAATATTGTTGCCTTAAACAATCCTAAATACATTAAGTGATTTTATAATTTTTATAAAAATTAAAAATATAATTAATGAAACATTAAATTGAAATGTATTGTAAGTAGATACTTAATTGTATTTCATCAGTAAATTGGCACTCAATATTTTAATTAAATAACAATTATTAATTAGTAGGTATGAAAAAAATACCGAGTATAATATAAATATGAAGGTGTACCATATTAATTATTATTATACATAATAATATAATAAAAATTACAATCGACTTATAACTTTTACTCCCTTTTAAGCAATCTAAATCTTGAATAAATATGATAATTAATACTGAAATATAAGTTAAGAAAGTACTATCTTGAAGTACTTCTACGGTCTACATAAGAAGGAAGGTACTGAAAGAATTTGAAAAATGTTAATAATAAATATTATTCTAGTTATATGAACATATCTACCATCAAGAATTATGGAATAAAATTCCCAGAATAAAAATGAATCAAATTAGTGTAATTATTCTAATGTGACGGGGCAACTCCTCTTGCCCAAAATTGACTTTCCTATTTTTTTTTCCAAAAAATAATTCCATTATTTTTGTACACCGTTTAAAATTTATCAGTTTAGGAATTATTTTCTCAAAATTAGTTTAATTAAACCATTTTACATTATTCATTAGCTTATTACCTAAAGAAACTCCTTGATGTTTATATTAGATACCTACTTTCTAAAAGTTAATGTACCAATCTGTTATTACTTGTGAGTTGTGTACCTACCTATTACCTACATTAAAATGATTATTATATAATAAACAATAGTCTGGTTATCAGGATATTAAATTTAATTATTGATAATTGATCCAATATTTGTAAATAGACATGCATATATTATATACTATATGTCTTTATGTATGTATACGTATACCTACACTATAAATATATATGCTTACCAGTTTAGATAAGATTACCATTATCTATCTGAATTATTACTCGACAATAACTTTAATATTATATTTATAAGTTTTAATGTAATGTTGACACAATGTTTCTTAAAATGTTGAACGTGAAACCGTTGGTAAAAAGAGAAAACTTTAAGACGTACAGACCAGTAAATATTAAAATCGCCATAAAATCTTACGTTTAGTAATAAATCCCAAGTTTTTGAATTTATAAAACGTTGACCAGTATTTAAATTAGGCTTATAATCATCACATATTAAGTTTATGCTGTCTTCATATTCTCTGAAATAAATATAATGTATACATTATGATTCATTATTAACTATAGTAGGTACCTACCTATATTATTATGTAATTAAAAAAATAAGTCAAACTGGTCAAAGTTATTATCTTTCTATACATTTTACATTTTTACATTAACTATCAATATATTACGTACTAACCTATTAAACGTTTGATTTACGATCGTCAAATTGTCAAGGTTTTGCAATTGTAAACCACTACATATTGTTATTGCAGGGAACGGTACATCATCATTCAATACAGAAAAATGCCTAATACTTTCATTCAGTATTATTATGATACTACCTTCCATCCAATTGTTATACAACTGTTTTATTTGATATCCACACATAAGAAACACCAAAGATATGACACAAATCCAAAATATCCTGATGATACATAAAAATATAATATTTTTAATTTATTAAAAAATAAATCAATTTTTTTAGGTATAAAAAAAGTTGGAAATTTAAAGAAAATTTTTGACTGTTTAAAGTGAATAATAATTTAATGGAATTTGTTTTTACTATAATATTAATTATGAAAATTTTATTTTTGTGTACCTACATTATATCTATTTATAATACCTATATGGTCTATAAAATATAATTTTAATGAAATTGTAATAGGTACTACAAAATTTATGTTTGCTTAATTGTTATCATATTTAAATCGTTTATAGTAATTCATTAAATAAATAACACCTATCCAACAGGCACAAATACAAGGGAGGAAGAGAGGAATATTTGTTCAGAATCATTCGAAATGTTTTCAAAAATATACTCCATGTAGGTAAACATTATATGCACATAGATCTTCGTAATTTATATAAAGTTCGATGTCAAACACTTTTATCTTCAAAACCATAAATTAACAACATTAACAATAAAAATGTTTAATTTTTTTACTTCTGAATATCTCCCCCTTTTAATTGATAATTCACTATAACACAGTAAAATGAAAATAAATATTTTTTTTTTTAAATACTTGACTGATGAAATTGTTTAATTCAAATAAAATGTTGTGATTATAACAGTTGTTTGTACAATTAATAAGAATTACATATTTTTTCTAATACTAACCTTTCTAAATACGGTCGTTTGGGTTCTCCTAAATAGATTACACCATGTAAGCTCGTAGCAGTGGAAAATTTTCGTAAATAATTTCCTTCGCCATATCCTATGGGTTTAATACTTAGCTTTTTACCGTTTAATACACCCATTCGTCTTCGAATAATTCCAAAATGAGAATCAGTCATTATATTTATTCAAAATAAAATTTTTTGTCGAAAATGTATTAACAAATAAGAAATATTAATTTTATGGTAGTTAAATCGTGAATTTAATTAAGTAGATAGGTACCTATATACCTACTATTGAACACATGTTTTCAAGTCGCTATACCTAGATAAAACCTATAGAAAGGTAGGTACTAGATTGAGGTTTAGCTAGATATTTCATTAAGTAAAACATTTTTCAAAATAATGTTCGTTAGTATTGGTACCAATAATAATTTGACATATTTATTCAAAGGGTTCCTTATTATATATTTATATTATGTGGACACTATATACAGTACCTGTTTAAGTAGGTAAGCATGCTTAGATACTTAACCTATGTATGTTTATAATTTACAGCATTTTTGACAATTTTCCAAGTATAATATTTACTTACTTAAACTGTCCTCATATGAACAAAATGTATTCAAACGATAATTATCGCGTTCAAAAGAAAAATGTTGGCATTTATTATATAAGTACCTACAATATTATAGACACCGTAACCCTTATATAGTTTAATGACATTTTGAGTATAATTCAATAGAATAACATACAACTATACCACCACATATATGATCTTTTGATAGTTCAGGCCGTTCAAGGTCAGTGTAGGTACCTACACTAATTACTATACATTAGTAAGTCTACTAGCTAATTGTTGTTTTAAAATGGACAATAGATACTTCTCTCAGATGTAAAATCTGTGGAAGACATTTTTAAAATATGAAATTTTTTTTAAACTGTGAAATAATTGAATTCAAAACGGAAAAAAGTAGGTAATATTACTCTATTGTGACCGGATTGGCCAGGCGAGTTGCCGAGTAAACTCGGCTAGCCATTCAAAATATGGGCTGTGTAGTAGTCGTGGCAATATAAACTTAGTCGTAAATTCTTGTTTTTTTTTTGATTGAAAATGTTTCTAAATCTAAATGATAAAATCCTAACATAGACTGGCGTGAAGGTATTCGCTTTAATTCTTGTAAATCACTTCTGAAAAAGTCTTATATAGGACATATAGGTCCTTTCCCCACTATTCTTGATCATATCCCTATATTATCTTATGGCGTATGGATAATGTAGGTACTATAACCATATCCTTAAGGTTATAATTATGCCCAACCGCTTCTATCTGGTTTAAATTACAACGTAGTTGCTTGCGTCTAACGAGTAACACTATTCCTATATGAAATGTGTTTTATAAAATATGAGTCTATAAATCATTAGGTACTTATATAGATGACGTATATTGACGAGTACATGACGTACCAGAGCTACGCATAATTATAATACAATATTGACTATTGCTGACTGTTGTACTTTACTCCCTCTCGTTATACAGGTACTGGAATGTGTTGTCTACATCGAGGTATTTTGTTAGATATTATATTGTTATAAATAGAACTAGGATTTTGATGCAAATGCATCTTTTTTTCTAGTGTTTTGAAACATTGTTCCGCAAGTATAAAATGTGTTTTGGGTAATACTGATTAATTTAAAGTAATTTTTATTTTACATTTTTTTTTTGCATTTTTTAACAAAATTAACCTAAGATGCATTTTTAGGGCATTTTCTTAGATTTTAGAGCATTTTTCACAATTTTTCATAAAATGAACGAAAATTGTTGCGATTAATAAGAGATTTTCGGCAAATTTCCGACGAAACGATTAATAAATATAATAATAATAACACGACAAGTTATTGTCGATAACAATTTTATCGTAGGACTTTCCACTTAAATTATCGCCGTTATATACCTATTGGCTATTATGTAGTATTATTTTTATTACACCATACATACATTGGTACATGTTATCATTGATAACAAAAACAAGTTAAAATATTAAACATTTTCTTTTTTTAAATTATTATTTTAGAATGAATGATTAAGAAAACAAAACAAAACAAGTAACAACGTACAATACTATAAATACCAAAAATTAATTATACAATTTTTTATTAAGCCATAATAAATATACATGCATTTTTATATTGCATTTTTTGTTTTTAAAGTCATTTTTGCATTTTTTTAAGGGCATTTTTTGAGATTTTTTAGGGCATTAAAATCCCAGTCTTAGTTATAAAATATCAGAGTTCATTAGCCATTAGTCATTACAGTATTAAATTTTAATTCAATAGTAAATGATTTTTACATGATTAAATTATTAGCCATGAGCTGCTAAGTTAATAAAATAAAATAATAATATAAAAACATATTTTCAAAAACACCATTAAAATTTTACGAAAATTTTTTTAAATTTTAATAACTCATAAAGTCATAAAATATAAAAACCCAATTGTTTTTATATTGATTGCTATTGAAATTTAACAAAATAATTAATTTTAAAATAATTGAAAAAATATATGTACAAAACAATAGAATAAGGTTTAATATAAAATAAGAAACAAAATCAACAAATATATTATTGTTTAATGTTTAAATGTAAACTAATAATAATAAAATAAGCTTATATTGTTCTAAAATTAAGTCTTAATAACAGCTAACAAATGTTAACCCCTATGACTAGAGACACATAGTTAAAATTTGTATTTACTATTCATTTTACATTAAAACAATGTGCAAATATATAGCTTTAAGCTTAAAAATGTTTTATAAAGGTAACAAATTATTACTATAACAAATTTTAACAAATTATCAAAACTTATTTAAGTGACAGTGTTTCATAATAAATAATAGTACCACTTAATAATAAATATTGGTTTAACTGATTTAAGTTATGTAGTGTTATATGTATTTAAGACAAATTTTATGCTAAAATAATTTAACTTATGAGTACATTATAAAATAAATTAGATATTGGTCGATTGTAGTTACAGAATTGTGATAAATTAAAATATGATTTTTTTTTTTTTATACATATCACATTGTCTTATAAAGCTCATTAGTTGCTAATTTAAGCACAGCCTAATTAAATTTTTAAGTGCAGAAAACACCAGGAATTATTTCTTTGATAAAGAAATAATTATACTGAATTACTGATAAGATGTTGATGGGGAAACAATGGAAATATCTCCTGTATTTGCACTGAAATAAAAAAAAACAAAAAATGTTGGTAAATTGAGTAATTATTTAAAATAAATTGTATTGTATTATTAAGTGAAAGACTATTATGAAAAGAAAATATGTTATGTTGAATACTTGTTTCATTATTATTTAAAATCAATTTAAATCAACAGTTTATCTAATTTAAAAATGATTATGATAGATTTATGTTAAAAACATAGAAACATAGTCCCCCTATGTTCTGAACTAAATACTAGAAAGAAATTAATTTTAAATTGTTAAGTATATAACCTTATACTGTCAACTAAAAGAGTATTGTATGAGCACACATAAACCAAAACTAGTAATTTCTTACTACAACACCACTTTGTATGATGATTCAACCTTCCACCACACCCATCAGAAGGAAACCCTCATTTAATGAACGAAGTAGTCATATCCTTTAAGTAGGTGGGGTATAGATAATATCACCAAAATAATATAACTGCTGTATATCATAGTACATAAATTGCTTACTGATCAAAGAGGACATGCTTTTTCTGTGCCCATGTATAATAATTGTTGTAATTTTAACAATTATAAATACACATTTTTAAAATTATTAATTTAAATCAATTATTCAGCAATAACTATTAACCTACACCAGGCATTTGAATACAATTACTGACATTTTTAATTCAAGTTTTAAATTGCATTTTTATATTTAATTAAGAATAAATAAATTGAAATAAGGTCAAAGTTCTATGAGTTATTATAATTTTTAATTTTAACATACCTGGGTTTATATTTGATATGAAGAATTAAAAACATTAGCCCTAATAAAAAGCAGCAACATCCAACCACAATATAAGCATATCCAAGAAATGAATTTCTGCCCCCTGTAAATGATGTGTTGGATAGTATCAAACTTTTTGTCCCACCAAAACCTGTTACTGGATAATCTAAAAAATGAAATAACTATATTAGTACAACTATACATAAATATATATTTAATTATATAAAACATACTATAGTCTATGACTAATTCATAATTTCCTCTAGGTAAACCGTTTTTAAAGTCATTAGAATGATCAATACGTCTGTATAATTTACGAAAATCAGGAAGTGCAGCTGTTCGCATCCAAACAATCAAATCTTCATTTTCAAAACCATTGTTAAATTCATTTTCCTTATCCAATTCCCATATATTCACACGCCAGTTAATTGGTTTTTCAAAATCTTTAAATGCTAAAAATCAAATATTTAATATTGTATAAATGATTTTATAATTTACATACATAGTTTACTAATCATACATTTTCCAAATCATAGCTATTGCTAATTAAGAATTAGAAAAAAAACATATCATAGTAATTTATACTAGGGGTCTTACTTTTTTAATTTTATACAAACATACGTATACACAAATATCATGAACACATGAATATAATAAAATAAAACACGTATAATTATTATACGTGAATTAATAAATGCTAAAACACATGAACACGTATTAGAGTCATAGTCATGTGAATACGTGAATTATTTTAATTGGTATGAAAATGTATATTGTTTATTATTTATAATTATTATTTTTTTATTTATATACAAGTATTATGAATTTATATATAACTGTCTTATGTTGCTCTATAGGTTAGGTTTTTTTAAAATAAAACATTAATTATTATTATTATTATTATTTGTTGAGCATAATTAATTTGGTTAATTGTTATACTTTATTTCATTGTTTTTTTAAATATCTAATCTATATTTATGATATGAGTAAGATCATTTTTCTTCAACGAATAAAAATAGAGAACTAAGTAATTTAAGACATAAGTATGTGAATACACAAATTCACAGGTATATGTGAATATGAATTATTATGATTATTCACGGAAAAATTTTAAGCAACAGGTCTTATAAATTAAACCTTAATATTTCAAGTAAATAGGTGAAAACGTATACATGTGAAATAATGAACATTAATTTATACTCATTTCTTTTAGAGGTCTTATAGCAAAACATAATATAGAAAGTTAAACTATATGTAACTATAAAAAGTGTTAAACAGAAATTTCTAAAAATTGTATATTAAAATGTGCAGCAAAAATATCAAGGCAATGCTTATTTTCAATTGAATACCATCTGTTTCCACCACACTTCTTAAATGATGAGCAGGTCATAGAGGTAGTGGTGGCAGCATGTTAGTGCTGATTGTCAATTATAGGGATAGATGCACAGTTTCAAGATGTTTTTATCTACCACCTACACACTCTCATACTAAATAGAATAAAGATATTATTTTAGAGTGTATAGTGTAATATAATATAAACTCTAATAATTTTAAATTAAATTTATCTTAAATATTTATTAAAAATTGTTAATTTCAAAATTACATAAATTAAGTAACAAGGAGCTGTAACTAATTAGTAACTCCCAATTATTTTATTTTTATAAACTGTAAAACAAAATATACTAAGTGATAATGCAACAAACCTTCTTTCAAATTTCCTTTTGAATGTTCTGGATTATGATACTTGATACTTTTATCAGATTCCCAAGCAATTTGTGTTCGAAGTAATGGAACAGGTTTATCATTGTATTTCAATGATAATTTATCTGAGAAAAATAAAAAAAAGAATACTTAAGTATATTGTATAATGCTTTATAATTGAATTCATTACAAATTAATTTTAAAATTAATCGTTGAATTTGGAAACAGATAAAATTGTAATATCATAGAATATTACAATATATTGCCTACTATTTATTTTATGATAATATGTACTAAAAATCTAGATAATACGTTTTCATATTAAATACAATTTACTATACAAATTAGAAAATATATAAAAATAATACAATTATATTCAAAATTATTTAATAGATTTATTAGTCATATGAGTTGCTAGGATAAATTTTATGGCAAAATAACAATTATTATCATTTTAAAAGTTCTTAAGTCTTTATAAGTACAATAAATTAAAAATACACAAAAGTAAAATAAATTAATAAATTAAAACATTAATACATATACATACCACTAAATAATGAATTGGCAATAGCTCCACAAGGTGCAATTGGCTTATTGTTGTGATAATCAAACGGTGCACAGTCACTAGATGGAGTTTTGCTAAGTTTTCCAAGCAACTGAAAATCATCTCTTGATTTTACATAACGCCGATGGTTTTGGTAATAATTGGTTAATCCATAATACATGTAAACATTAGGCTATAAAAAATGCAAACAAGATATGTTTAAACATTTAAATAAAATTAACCATGGTGTTGTACATTAATCTAATATCATACAGAAAAATCTTCTTCCAATTTAAATGAAATACTGCAATTACAAGACAAATTACGATTTCCATTAATAATTTCTGCACAAGAATCATGTGGATAATCAATACTTTTGCAATGTGTATAATCGAGAGTAAATTCTTGAACCTAAAAACATATTCAAACATGATTAGGTTTACATAAATGTACATATTAAAAAATACTCACCAGATTTGTAAGGTATAGTAAACCTATGCCAATTGGAATAAATGCTGCTGCAACTGCAAAGAATATGGGCATTACATTGCGTGCTGTTAGAATTGGTTGCCATGCCGGCAATCGTTGTTGTTTGAATGCTGTATCTGTAATAATACCCAAGCAAGTATATAGTACCTAGGTAAGATATGCATTTGTGCTAATATCGAATATACTTCATGAACAAATTAAAAAAAAAAATTACCTGCTGGTTTTTTAGACTTAGGCTCTTGTACATCCAACATTGTGTATATAATACTGAAATATGTACTACTTAGTACAAGTGTATTTTATTACGAAAACTACAGCGATTCTACATTCGACAACGTAACTGATAGCGCATCATCATTTGACAGTACTCAGTACTACGAAAATAATAAAATTGATCACTTCAGGACATGCAATCTATCAGACAATCGTGACTATATAACGTTTACAGTTTAATAAAAAAATATGAAAATTAGATTAAATTGAATATTATTGTTATTAACTAAGTGATAATGCGGCGGACGGCACTACGGCATTCGGGCAGTTACACAGAACATTAATATTTATTTCGTGACAGACTGTTCAGTGACTTACTGTACATTATATCATTATAATCATTATATGCATATAATATGTATATATAATTCTTGTAAATCGTTAGTCGATTATAGTTTTCAACTGCAGTCTACAACATAATATAAATTAGAACAATCGTTATCAGCTGTTTCTTACACATCCTAAGTTTATATTTTTTGTGTAAACATTGTAATGTAATCATAGATAATAATATTATAGCATCATCTAACACCTCGTATACAATTTTACGGCACATGATTTAAGTATTCTAAGTAATCTAACTATTTAAAAGCATGACAAATATTTGTTTATTTTGTCATATTGTTTTAACACAATATTTTACTTAGAACTTAGATCATGTGAATATAATATGATCTAAGATATTAGGTAGGTATATGACAAACATATTGGTAATATATCTATTTATATTTTATACTATTATATAATATGATTTAATATTTATGGTAAATATCAGTAAGATACTAAGATAGTAGGTAATTAATAATAATTACTATACTATCCGACAACCAATACTTTTTAATGTCATTATTCACTCTTTTTGTGCAGAAAGTTGAGAATTAATTATCAAAATATAATTAAACACTGAATAGCGAATACATTATACATTATAATATTATCATTGTGTGAGAGCCAATTTCAAAATTTTGAGTAAGTATTTACACAATTTTTTGATAATCTAACAAGAATAATAATCGTATCATACACTGCACAACGCGTAATTAGATAGGTACACGGTCTAAGAGTATAGTGACTAGTCTGATGCTTTAGTTTTTTGGTATAAAATAAACCACAGAACAAATTTAATTTAATCTATTCTATGTATGAACTTTATATACTCAATGGAATGGAATGATGTGATTCTATGAACTAATACCTAATTGGGTGTATCTAACTATTGCTTATTTAGTGATTGAATAGGCCTGCTCATAAATTTCAAATTAGTAGGAGCCAGGAGAGGAAAAGGGCTGTCAGAACAGTTTCTTAAGTCGGAAAGTGATGGCTTTGCCATTCCTTCCCTTACTCCTCAAAGTTGTTTTGAAACAATTAACAAATAACAATTTATTAAACTTACCTACCGGTTGCAATAACATATTTATATCAAGAATAATTATATTCAGCTATACGGGGTTATTATTAAACAGACAATGCGTGGTGTAAAAACGTCATGTTTATAAATATATTTATGTAGACTTATTAAAAAACTTAGATATTAGAGATAATTTAGAGATGTTTTGCTGGAAAATAAAAAATGGTTAGAAATGGAGACAAGCAAAGAAATGTTAGATTTTGTAAAAGTATAAAAAACTTTACTAAACAACATCAAGGCGATGGTATTACACTGAATACGATAACGAGGAACTCTATAGCATCATACTATAAAAAAGCATGATAGAAGGGAAACGTGAAAGATAAATAACTAAATAAGTTTTTTAATCAAAGATGCAAGAATCAACTCGTACAGAAAATTTGAGGATAAGGCACATATTCGGGGGGAATTGTAAAAGATCATTTTACAGTAAACCAATTTACAGTTGAAAACGCAAAAAAAAGCTGTAAAGTAATTTATTGCTCTTCAGCATGTACAGTAGGTGTTGAGTATAGATACCTTGACAATTCGTCATTGATTAGGTCACTCCAATGGATGTACCTATTATTTTTTTTTTACCTTTATTTCATTTCAATGATAAATATTTAACTATCTATATGATAAGAAACAATTTTGAACGGAGATGGTCTGACTTTTTGATAAACAAGGTTACCGAAAAATTATTTTATTAATAATATTAACAAATGTTCATTTATAATTAATTTATTATTTTTTTTTTTTTTTTTGATTATTTAGCATACTGAAACATATTTTCTTCTATAAAATGTCTACAGACATAAAGATAAAAAACACATATCATTGTAAAGTCAACACAGTAGCAGATCCAGAGTTGAATTTTTTAAGGAAGGGCTCCTAAAAAAAATTAGGTACTTCTAAGTCTTATATATATATATTATAATGTTTTAGTTCACGTGTTCTAAAAATATGCAACAAATGGTTAAGGGAACGTTATTAATTGTATTATGGTTGGATTAGGTATCATTTATGTTAATTAAGTACCTGCTATCTGGTAATGTGCAAGCAGTTCTTGCGGCAACGTCGGTTTAAATCCTGAAAAATATGGTACCTATAATAATTATACTATTATAAATTTTAATTATTTTATTTTAAAATAATTTTTATAATACAAAATCTTATCTATACTTATTTTTAGAAATAAAATTATTTATAATGTTTTTATTCCAATTATCGCAATAAAATTTCCAATATTTTCCAAAATATATATTTTATAATAAATTATAATACTTTATTACACAATTTAAAATATTTGTTAAGTAAAGAGACTGTTGAAGAGGTCTGGAGAGAGGCCGAGTCGCCGAAGAATCCACTAGTCAACACCTGTCATCTACCACTCATCATTTAGAGTTTTTTTGTAGTTAACATAAAATACAATGAAATTAAGCAAAAATAAAGAATAACAGAGAAAAAAAATTTTACAATGAAATTTATATATATAATATATAAGTTTGCTGCGGAATCTGTGACAATATATGTTTAAGTAAGTGGTAATTAAAATTCAGGTTTAGATTATTGTGGAGATAAAAGAATACCTCTAGTGGAAGGCGTGGTTTCAATCTGCAATTTCTTGTTTGTTTTTTTTTGATTTTATAGTGAATGGCTCTTTCAATAAATTTAGTCGAATCTTGTACGGATTTTTTTAATCGGTCTTTGATTGCTATACGGTTTTGTTGTTTTTATTATAATACTGTATTGTAGTACATACTGAATATAAATTTAAATAAATTCATAAATGTCATAAATCACGAGGGTGCTAGTTTCTGAACTGGGAGTGCTAAGACAAAACTGTGCCCATGTGTAAAGTTATTGCCTAATACGGTATATATCAGTAGTCAGCGGCTAAACAACAACTACTGATTACTGAACTACATGATACTTTTTGAATACTTATACCAAGTGCTTAAAAAAACATTTAAAAGTGTTTGCTCATACTCACAAAGATAATTATAGATTTATAGATAATAGCAGTCAACGGTAGGTACCTATACTTTAAGTAGGTAATAGCCAATAGATACTTAAAATAAAGGTAAATTATTTTTTTATCAAAAAATTTCACAAACTCACTCAAAAATACTAAAAACACTGACATTTTTATTTAGTTAATTGTTTTAGAAAAATAGTTAGGTATTTACTAGTTGAAATTTTAGTTAAAAATATATCATATATATTGTTAAACAGTTATTGTAGTTATAAAAAAATATTTATAAATTATTAAAATAATTATGAACAAAAACAATAACTATAATATGTATCATATTACACATACCTTTTGGCTATAAAACTATAGAACAATATGATAGTAATTAGTAAATATAAATATAAAATTCATTATGTAGATGTAGAATGCTTATTTCAATAGGTAATAGGTAGGTAAGTACTATCTATATCAGGATAACATTTGTTCATTTAAATTATTTAAATTTAATGTTGGTGGATACTTAACAACAATTAAATCTTCAGCATATTTTTACATAATATAGGTACCTATTGATACAGGCTGTACAGTTATTAATTTATATGTAGATTGTAGATTATGATTATATTATTATCAAATATCAATAGAACCAACAGGTAGGTAATAGGAATAGGTATGTATAAGCTATATATTTTTAGTTACTAGTAATTACTAGTTATTTACACAGAATACTATTTAGGATTAATCACGTTTTGTTCAATGGGCGTTAACATAGTTTGAAATATAGTTTAGAATGGTTAGATAATATAGTAGGTACCTATGTATTATAAAAATATCTATGTATAAAAGTAACTATAGGTACCTACCTAATTTATTGTACCTACTTATGTCAGTACCTACTTGCTACTTATCCATCTTTGAAGTAAATCACGACCGTAGTTATCCTATTAAATGGCGACCATCGAACAATTAAGTGATGTACGAAGGCGTTTGTTAAAATTCTCTAATAGAATTATTTATATAATAAAACATACTCAACATTTTAAAAGAATATCTGTGCACTTTTTGTTTTCTCTCACCCACGTGTAATATAGCAAATTTGGTTCACCAGAGCCAGTTTTAAATTTTAAGATTTAATATTATATAAAGTGAATTCACTTATTTAATATTTATCATATAACTTTATGTTCAGATCTATTGACTATTTGTGTTAATGTTTTCGTTTATTTTTTTAAACAATATTTCAATTTTTCTGGGATATTTAAAACCAATTTAAATAGTAATATTTTACATAAGTATATACTCGTAACCTCATATCTTACATTCAAATTGAAATATTGTATAAAAGCCAATAAACACAGATAATGTTCTTGAATCCGAGTTTAAAAATATTTCAATTCACTCTAATATAAGAAGTCTAAGGCTTACTATTTACATCACAAGGTTTGTTCTTTTGATTAACACAATATTAAATAATTTTAGATTTGGAAACAATTTATAACATTTGAATCAATTTCGGAATTATGGAAAAATCAGCCAACATACTTATTAGTCCAGTTGTTATTTATCATAGGTGGAATAGTGACATTTTTACACGGTAAGATTTAAAATGTATTTAGGTATTATTGATTAGCATTATACAATTTTACTTGTGTGGGACGGAAGTCTTGTTGTACGTATTTATTGAATTGGATATCAAATACCTCGTGTAGGTTTTAATTAATGTGACTTAGAAGATAGCTATTTTATAATTATAACATAATATATCAAAAATTATTTGCAAAAACTAAATCATTCATTAAATTATTACCATTTTAGCACTTACCAATGGAGGAAGACGTCCTTTACTTTGGTTATGCATAATTTGTCACGGTTTGGTTATTGAGTGTATATGTTACTTCATGACTGATATAGACAACTTTTGGCATAGTCGTGCACCGATTATGTTTTTCCGACATAGACTTCCATTGTATGTTATTATCTTATGTAAGTAGGTATTGCATATTTTTAAGGTCACTAAAGTTTATGTTTTAGATATTTTTATAATTTTACAGATTCAGTTTTTTATTACATAGCAATTGAAATAGCGTACAGGACAAACAAAACAAAAGTAGGTTTTATTGTTACTGTAGGATTAAATGTATTTTTGATTGATTTACCATATGATATAATGGGTATAAAATTTGTTCATTGGACTTGGCACGATACAGATCCAAATATAGAAGACCGAATGTATTGGGTACCATGGACTTCATATTATTTTCATATGGTGTTTTCTGCAAGTTTTGTTTTTTGGTTTTTCATAAAAGGTGTTAATCTTGATCAAACATTTACATACAGGACAGAGATCTCAACTTCTTTAAAAGCAATATTCCTTAGTACACCTTGCGGAATAATATGCTTTTCTGTACTATATCACCCATTACATGATCTGTATAATGTTCCATCACAAATAATAGTGATGTTTTTAATAGCATTATATATCATGTTATCTATTTTAAAACGCGAACCTAGGAAAATGTTCAACCGTCCATCAACTATAATTTTATACCTTATTGTGTACTATGCAACATTTTTGTGTATTGCAATATGGGGAAAACCTGAAAATGAAATTTCAATTGGACCACATGAAGAAATCGGTCCATGTAATATTACAGTATCATCTTTTGGAACTGTAAGTATTTATCCAGATTTAGTACCAAAAGCAGAATAATATATTTTGTCATACAATTTTTATTTCGGTTATTTCCACTCTTGCAATACACTTACATTTATTTCATTCTTAATAGTAATACTTATTAGAAATAATTATAATTAAACAACACAGTTCATGTATTTATGAAAACTATAACATTTAACACATTATTAAACCCATTTAAATTATTAGTATATTGTGTTTAATTGAATTGGTATAATAGTAATCAATACCTAAAATAATATTATTTAAAAGATGTTACACACATGAAATTTCATCTATATTTTTAATAAGTTCATATACACAAACTATTTTACTTCCATGTTTAAAAATAGAGTGAAACATAGAGTTATAAAACTTAAATGTAAGAATATTATTCAGGCCACAAGGAAGGATTTTTAAATAATTTTATTTCTAAGCACATTAAAAGCATTTTAAATTTCACAAAAAACTATTTATTATTAAAATATGTTCATAACTTGCTTTAGATTAAGATAAAAAAAACTGTTTTCTTTTAGATAAGTCTTACCATAAAATTTAATAACAGATTAATTTACCCTTATATAAAAAAAAAAATATGTGTGAGTATAATGGTCTCTTAATAATAAAACTATTATGTTTAAAACTTGAGTTTTCCAAACTTTAGCATTAAATATATTTTTTTTTTTTTATCATATTCTAGGAACTAAAAAAACGTAAATATTTATGTGTTGAAGACTATAATGAAGATTTTGATTTCCACTGTGTGAAAGATGTCCCTGCTCAACATAGCAAAATGTATACAATATGCGGAACACCTTTTAAAAATCGGATTGAATATATTATTTTAATAATTACAATAATTATAACAGCATTTACACATTTTTATGAATCATTTAAAATAATATATCAAATTAAAAAACCCCATTGATTATATCAAAAGTTTTTTTTTATTACGCTAGAGAAATATGAAAATAATATTAATAGTAAGAATAAATTTGTTTACAAAAAAGTATTATAGTAAATATTTTATCTATAATATGTTCTACACAAATCATATTTATCTGTTTAATGTAGTTAATTCTTGATATTGTTTTAGTTGATTATAAATTTGTATTATTCATAACAATCTTTTAATATGGCCAGCTTAATGGAAAAAAGACAATGTTGGTATTGAGGTTTCAAAAACTAATATGATATACATGAAATGTGATTTATAAATAAAATATAAACTTATACATAAAATAAAGTAGTTAATAATAGTTAAAATAATAAAAGCAACCGCCAGTCTGTTGTTGATAGACTTCAATGGTATCGCCTTCCTCCATTTCAAGAGAAGCTGGAGTATCAGCTTCACTAATTGCTTGTCCGTCAAATCGGAATCTTACTGTTGCCATAGCTAAACCCTAAAATATTAAAAATGTGAATCAATTAAAAAACATTACATTATAAAAGTTAAACTAGTACATAGGTTTAATTAAAAGTAGTTACATAGATAAATAAAAATATCTATATTAACATTTAAAATCAAAATAATATATACATTTTTTTAACGATTTATCATTAATTAACATTTTACAAAAGTATTTAGTGTATTTGTAAACCATATCCATTTTTATCATCTTTGTTTTATAAATATACATTGAGCAATTCATGTAAACATTATTTAGCTTTAATATTAGTTAATGTATCATTAAACATTGATACATTAATTATAAAGCAAGTTACAAGTGCGTACAATATTATAATAATCAATTTAAAAATAATTTTAACTTGCTTCAATTTTGAATTATATATAAGAAGAATTTTATTTAAACATACAATATTGTTACATGTAATAATATATCAATCAACACTATATCCTATTCAAATTAAGATTGAACAGCTTTCCAGTTATAGACTAAAACTTCTGATACCATAAAATAAATCTGTGTTCTGTCTTTGGTTGAATATTATTTAGCATCAGTCATCATATATAAGGAGAAATATAAATTACAGTAGGAGCTGTCAAAAAGAAGGGATGTACCGATTCAAGTAAAATATAAGTATATGTCAACGGCTAAATGTAAGTGTGGTGTCATTGTTTATCTTATTAAGGCAAACAAATTATGCAGACAACTGAATAAAACTAAGAAGGAATTTTTCTGAATACGACGAGTAACTTTTATTAGGATATATTGCAATTGTCACGATTGTTTATGTACAATAATAGAAATTCCAGAAAGATAAATTAATTTTATTTAAGAGGAAGCTTTACCTTCATGATTATTCTGTCTTATTAACGTACAATATAGTAAAAACCGTTGTGTGCTGGCAAGAATCACTTGGGCTGTAGTCTGTTAAAGTTAAGCATCCACATTTTTACATTAGGAAAAGAAAACTTAGACTGTGCAACATCGTTTTTATTTTTTTAATATCAAAACTAGCTAAATTTGTTACTTAATTTAAACAGATTATAGTTTGAGTGCTTTTTGCTCACGCGAAATAGATTTTAATATGTTGTACATTTATAAATTATAATTGATACATTAGCATAAAACTTTTTAATTCATTGTATATTAACAGTATATTGTTTTATATCAGTCGTAATGAAAATAGTTAGGTTTCTACATCTAGACTAAATGTTGAATTTAATTGTTTTTTGCATATCATTTCAATTTGGTAAATCTTATTTGTAAAAAATAAATAAAATGTAACAAAAAATATTCAAGTATCATATATAAACCATATTTATTTACATCCACAATGTAAAACAAGGGCACATAAGTTGTGGCCTGCTAAATATCTAAATCATACGAGTCATAAATAAAAGATTACAAGCTATTTAATAAAATTATTATTTGTGGTAATTTATGTAAAACCTTTATGTGTAGTAAATTAGTTTAATAACACCAAGTCTTTTAATAAATATTTTACATGTATGATAGTTCATAGTAAGGAAAATAGTGATGACAATTATTAAGTAGAGTAAAATTCAAGTAATATCACATGGTTATAATTTGTCTTATAAATATGATAGTAAAATACCAGCTAATATTGATTTTCAATTCCAATTTAAAATGATATGGAAGCATCAAAAATGTATTTGGTAAAAATTCACTTAACTTATGGTTACTATTGGACATACTCTTTTACAAAAAAAGATTATTACTCTACCTTGCCACTGCTTGTCAGAAATTTTTTTACATACTTTATGGCAATAAAATTCTAGCTTGCAACTGTAGTTGCCACAACTAAATGAATTTAATATCTTAAGTGTAACCATATTTGCTATATAATCATAATCATTTTTACTAACTTAGAATAATTATAATCAATGCCTAAATGAATTCTTGATTAAATATATAAAAGCAATTTTTATAATAAATAGTTTAGTTTTATTAAATTTATAATTTAGTCACTGTTACCATAATAGCAATAATCACAACAAATTACTTCTTAATAGTTTATACTTACAGTTCTTTCACAATAAGCATTCATGAGCTTTTTTAAAGGAGTATGTTTCTTAATCTTGAATTGGACTACAGCGTTATCTTGACCAAGAACCTTAAGATTAATATGTTCAGGGGCATCCTAAAATACAAAATATTTTTAGTATTGATTGGTGATTAACACTTTTTGCAGAAAATCTATAAATGATTTTTAATAACACGATTAACTTATAAAATATCTTATGGAAGTTAAAAGTCAGTTGACTTATCGTGCTAAATGTAATAAATATTAACGATAAAAATTGTCAACAGTAATTGAAGTAAATTTTAGGTTTTAGGTAAATTATTTATTCAACTTATGAATTATACATTTAATGGTACCACCACTTCTGGTACTATCAATATAACGACCTTCAATATGACAAAATGCCATGGTTGGCAAGTACACACTACGCAGCACTGTTAGATTTAAAAAAATTCGATTGTTTTACGAGTCACATATGAAATAGAAAAAGCATGTGCGGGAAGGTAATCAGTTACGTTAACAAATTGGATTGGGAACCAACGCGTAAAATATTAAGATAGAAAATGCGCGGGCAAGACGCCGACTTGAGCACGAGGTGACGACACATTTGGCGCTCATAACTTGGCGTCGGAACGGGTGGGCAACACACGCGATCGATTGTCGGGTTTTTCATCAATCGACGCCATTACAGGATGTCGACTCGTGTATTTATTTTTCATGCGTCAAGCGAATTTGTAAATACTTACTCCTTTGTCTACAGCCATTTCTGATGTGTGTTTATACTTTGGTTAACAGATGAATAGTGTCGATGCCTGTGACGAAGAAAACGCGGTGGCAGAGAAACTTAATTTTCCGATAAAAATGCTGACAATAATATTTGAAATTCCAAACTAATAAGGTTCGTTGGTTCAATATACCGGTAAGAATAACGTATAGTACTACAGTGCACTCACACGCCAGATACAGCCGCCAGTCGCCACAGGCAAACAGTCAACAATAAACAAATTACAAATGGAAGCGAAATGCGAATCACTGAATGCAGTGGTTAACCGTGGTTGGATGGTCAATAAACACGGTTGCCGCTTGATGTATTAATTGTTAGATTGGTACCACCGTCGATCCGCTTAGCAAAGCAAGGTAAGGCTTACTGTGTATACCTACCTATTATATTATTATTTAATGTTTTATTTGTTTTTAAAGCATTTGAGATAAGATTTCATTAATTTTCTTATTTCTTGCATAATGCATTAAGGGTTTATGCACAAATTATGAGGAATTAAAATGTATCTCAACATATCAATTCATCAACACCAAATACAATTCGATATTCGCGTAAGGTTTTTTGTCACCTAAAGTTGATGCAAAAACGCAAAATAAACATTAATACAACATATACGCGTCAATAGTTGAATTTAAACATAATATTCAATGGCATATAATTAATTAATTTAAAATATGAAATAATACTATGAACATGTTTTTTTTTTTTTGTGAAAAGGGAATAAACAATTTGTAAAATAACAACACTGTTTAGGTACGCTTGGTAACTGGTAATTGTAATTGTAATATCTATATGACAGTATGACAATGTTGTCAATAATCAATGTTATGCCGGTCATTGTTATGAAAGATGAAATTAATGACTATGAATTATGAAAACGAAAATGAAGGTGAACAGTAAACACTAAACTCAATGATTCCCGCTATTTAAGACATATCATAAAATCTTGATAAATCTAATGAGTTATAAGTTTTATTATACAAATACTAAGCACAATTTTATCATTGGCCGTATATCTTAAAAATTAAGACTAAGATTAAATATTTAGAATTAGTTTCATCTAAGACCATGGATCGATTTATCCTAAATGTATTAAGCATTAACCATAAATTTACATGATCATAAATAATTACAGTATGTAAAAGAGATACTAGATAGGTATAATATTATGTTACCAAATTTAAAAATTGTTGGATAATTTGATAAGCATACTCCCCTTAAACATTTTTTCAATTCACCTATACAATAAGTTAATTACCAATTGGCTGCTACTAGATACATATTAAGTTTTGAATTTTTATATATTTATGACTTATGTGGCAGTTACCTGTTACATACAATGAATTGAACTTATTGATAAATAATAATTTTAAAGCTTATGGTTTACCAAGTGTATTGCCCTATAAGAGTATGTTAGACTAATGACACATACGGCTTAGTAAGCATTTACTGATAAAATTTGTTTTAATAATGTTTATAATGTTTATCCCATATCCATAAATTTATCGGTATTAATTCATAACTGTTATTAATTATCTGTTACATTAATTTACAATTTACCATGATGTTTTAGTTATATTTTATTATTTTAAAACAAAAGATTTTTAATTTTAGAAAATTAAATAATTTAATGATAATTTATTAATGAATAATGGTAACTATAATTTACAAGTATTGAAACATGCTTTTTTTGTGATGATTGAATTTTCTAATTTTTTAACGCTGTAAGCAACACTTAAACTGAAGAATTAAAAAAAAAACTTAAAATGTTTGAATTAACAGAGGTTTTCATAGCATTCAACATTAATTGTAGAAGAATAGCTATATAGTAATTATAATTAAATTATTATAAGTACAATTTCAATTATTATTGTCATTTTGTAGAGTTTTTTTTTTATTGGGTAACCTCTTTAATCTTAAGAATCATGTTATTTTCTACAAAACTTATCAAACTTGCTTATTGTACAAAACTGTATAAATCTTAGATTTATTTTAATAAAGTAAAATTCATAAAAAATTAGATAAAATTAGATTTAATTTTATTAATAATTGTAAAGATTTATCCTCAAAAGTACCTTCATACATGCCACAATTTATTATTCATAATCTAAAATTTTGAAAGCATACAAATTTAATGAAGAAAATAGTGGAAAGTTTATAATAAAATATTGACTAGTAGCTACTAATATTTATTATTTGGAATTATTATTGTGTTAATTATTGTGCAGTAAAAAAAAATGAAATAAAATATTTTAGCTTAAATAAAGTACAATTTTACAAATAGTTGATGGTACTATTGGTTAACAAGAACTAAAATTTCAAAACTCTCTCCATTAAAAATAAAAAAAATTCAACTTTGTCTTCAAATCAGCAATTAAAAAAAAAAAAAAAAAAAAACATTAAATTGTATTTTAGTTTAATGCTCCTTAGTTTGTTAGAAGTATTTAACAAATATAAATGCATTTATTATAACTTAAAATTTTATTAAAAAATTAAAATATGTTATCAATTTTTAATTGTAGAATACATTGTAATATTTTAGTCAAGTTGTCGTTTTGTTGATCTAGATGTTTTCATTATGTAATTACATATTAATTCCACCTCTTAATATTTTTACATCATCAACAGGTCTATCATTTTTATCTGTTTCTACCATGCCCATTCTTTTGACAACATTCATACCAGAATGAACACGACCTAATAAAAAATACAAGAAAATTAATAACAAAATATATTAATATATATATATAAATTCAAGTGATTATTACTTGAAATGAGTAAGTTAATATTCCAAATATTTGATTGTAAAGTTTTATCAATAAAAATAACTTTAGTATTATGCAGACATTACATTTAGGCATCTACCTTTGACTATTTATAAGCACGTGTTATGATCAAATGCTGAAAAGCATTATAATAGCACTAATGAAAAATTTACTACATCAAGTTGTAAGGTATCTGCTTTAAATATTTGAAAATTATTTTATTTATAGTTAATTCCAAAGATGGGCTATAAAGAATAATACAGTATAACATAGAGATAGGTTTAATTAAAATATAAGGCTTTAAAAAATAGTTACTGTACAAAAAAATAAATTAATGCAGATATTTTTATGTGGGATAGAACATGAATTATTATTTTTGTATTATGTTAGAAATGTACAAATATGTTTTAAAAATCATTGTAGGACTGTTATCTTAAGTTTTTGTTATTATTTTCATAATTTTTATGTTAAATTAATAGTAACACTATAGCAATAGAAGAAGTATTTAGTTATAGTCAACAAGTAAATATTTGTAGTTTTTTTTTTTTTTACTGTTCCTATTTAATTTAAAATGATTCTTTAATCGTATTAGATTACATATTTACCAAATATTGTATGTTTTTTATCAAGCCACTGAGTTGGTGCTAATGTAATAAAAAATTGTGAGCCATTTGTATTAGGTCCTGAATTAGCCATAGACACAATACCTGCTCCTAAAATAGTACAATAAAACATTAAATATCAATAAAATTGTAGAATTAAAAATGAATATTTGTTTAAATATAAAATAGTTAAAAAAATTTAACCTGTATGTCTAAGATCATCATGAATTTCATCATCAAAATGAGTACCATAAATTGATGTACCTCCTCTACCAGTACCAGTAGGATCACCACCTAAAATAAACAATAGTTAAATTATAACTTTATTTACCCTCACTTTAATAATTTAATATAAATATCTTTACATATATTAGCATTCATTAATGATTACTGACAAATACTATGTGATATGTACATCATTATACAATCACTTAGTGAGATACCAATAACTAATAAATATAGTCTACATGAAATACCTAAAGGTGGTCAACTGAATTTACAAAAGTATAATGAGTTTTAAATTTGTATACTGTCATAGATATTTATTTATTAATGAACAATAAAATACATGAATTTTTCTACTTTAAAGTTATTTTTCATTTAAAGGTTAAATTACTTTTGAAGTGATTTTCAACTAAAAAAACTTAAATGACTAATAATTATTCAAGTTATTAGCATATTTTACTCTACACTAAAAATATTACACAATCCGTTAAAAAATAATCACATCAGATAAGAAGTAAGTGGTAAAATAATAGCTCTATAATTATATTTTATAACAGTTCATAATTATACCATAATTTATTTATCAATGAATTATTTATATTATATTATGGGGTTAAAAAAAATTATTTATAAATGTACATTTAAATGCATAAAAGCTGCATCTAAATTTTAATCTCTAAATATATTAGTCATAATAATTTACTTTAATTGACTCTCAGTTTGTGAATATTAAAACAATGCAAGTAATATACAGATATGTTAATAAAATTGAACAATTCTAATTCAATCATTATTTTAAATAAAACCTTGTAAAATTAGAGAGTAAAGTAGTTTAAATATAAATAAAAACAATTTTTATTTTTATACTAAGTATAGATTAAAGTATTTATAAATATTGTAGAAATAATAGACATAATTTTAAACCTTTATTACATTTTACTCATTTGCATACATTTAATTGATCTAACTAAGAGAAAATATTAGAAAATAATCCGTCTTACTTTATTTAAAATTTTAAAAGATATTTAATTCTTACCTTGAATCATAAAATTACGAATAATTCTATGAAATTTTGTATTATTATAATAACCACGTCTACAAAGTTCTGCAAAATTACGGCAAGTCTCTGGAGCATGATCCCAGTATAATTCAATTGTGATTTGACCCATTCTAAAATTAACAGTTGTAAGTAACAATTTATAAGCGTTTTTGTCTATAGATTCTTACGAAGTTTCAATAATTCCAAATTGTGGTTTCCATGATTTGTCTGGGATACCACCAGCTCCATGGATCATAATTGAATCCTTCATTATTATATTATTTTTAAATCTATATTATTGAATAATTAATTCAATTTTGATTTATTCAATGTTAATGTTTCTTGTTTGTCTGCTTAGAATACAGTTTTGACAAGAAACTTTTTTTCCAGTTCCTAAAAAACATATTAATTTATTATATACCTTTTAAAAATAAATAAGCCATAATATATTATTAAAATGTACCCATACTTATTAAGAAATAAGTAAAAGTAATGATTTCTTAGTCATAAGTTATCATAAAATAGTTTGAATTTAAAACTACTTTTACAACAGCTAGGACGTAAAAAAAGATAATTAAAAAATAAAATTATACACCTACCTATAATTTCTTTTGAATACCTATTATAGACTATAATAAATAATGATTAATCAACAAAAATAATTAGCAATCAATCTGTATCCTGTTTCTGCTGTCTGTGCTTCAATAATCTGTTATTATAATAATATACCTACTAACTATTAAATATTTTATGTTAAATCTAATGATAGATAGAATCATAGATTTATAAACTTTCTAGTTTCTAGAAGTTCATGAATACTGCCATACAAACAGAATAAAATGAACCACCAAAAACAAAAAGTGGAAAAATCAAAGAGCCAACATGTACGAGAGTCTTATCAGTTATCACTAATGCCGCTATGGAGTATGGACAGTATGGACATAAATTATTGTCGACTACGGAGGGAAAAACAGATCAAGCTAGAACGAGTTAGGGTTCTAAGCACGATCTTAGAAAATAGATAAGGTGACGCTGTTTTTATACCTTTCAATCACAGTGTAGATAAAACGGTGTAGCCACCACTAAATAGTCGGTACTCGGTACTCAGTAGTCATTTCCCATTTTTGATTAGAATTTTTTTTACAGCAATTATTGCGAAAATTTTCGCTGCGTACGCTAAGAAGGTCTATTTTATTTTATGTTATTACAGTAAAATATAATGTATTTGACTGTATTTTGACCAGTTTGACCACATTTTAACTATTTATATTCTTACTTGTAGGATAATTGATAAATAAATTATACTTTTTTAGTCTTTTCATCTTCTTATTATCTTATTACTAATAAATATTAACTAATAATCAATTAATATAAATACCAATAAAATACCGATTATAATTTAGATTTAAATATGCACTTATTGTAATTATTTCTATAATATTTGATATATTTATCTATTTAAAATTAAATTTAATGGCACAAACACAATTCAATTGAATCATTCAATATTTTTTTCACTATTTTCTAAAATAGTAACTTACAATCATAATATGCTGCCCGCTATTTAGATGACATACCTATAAATCTAATTCCGTCAACGGCGTTAACTACATTAAGTGTACATACCTACAGTACTTGTTATACAATTTGTTCAGATTAGAATAGAAATTAAAATTGAGTCGATTTAAAAAATTATAATACCTATTAGTACAATAGGCACGTGTAACAGTAAGATTTTTGGATTCAAACCATGGCCATAGTAACATAACAGTTTGATTCATGTTTGTAAGTTTTACTCAGCTGTTATGGTCGAACACACATGTATATTGATCAGTCTCGTCCTACACTTTCAACGAATAAACATTTAGTGGTATGTGTTAGTATGTCGATTTTAATTTGTTCGACTATAAAGGTCAGGTCTGGTACTTACGATGATCTAAGTGCTCAGGTTTTGTGCCAATAATATGAGTTCAAATGCTTACGTTTGTATGCCTAAAATTCTGCATAAAATCTAGTAAAAACGATTTAGCGGACAGTATAAATTATAATTTATATTTTTCGAGTCGGATGAACGGCGACAATATCATAAATAATTTTATCTTGGATATAAGTTATAACTTATAACTGATATAACTAAGCTATCGTCGTTCAAATTATTCAATATTTATGAATGCTATACATGATCCACGTCACATTGATTACTTGCCTTTGAAAATTTTCAATCCCAACAAATGTCAAGTAAAAGTTGAGATTTATTAATTGAAGTCAACTAGTAAAGAAAAGTTAACAATAAATATATATATACAATTACATTAAAAAATAAAGGACAAGAATAATTGACAATTGTTACTAAATTTTAAATAAAAAATAACTTGCAAACACAATTATTTGTAAATTTTCGAGATTTTTGTCAAATATTTAATTTTAAATAGGTACTTGTAAGAAAAATATGTGACTTTAAATTTTTGATATTATATAATTGGTAAATAAAAAAATTTTTAGAAACCTCATATTAAATATTTAAGTACATGGGTATTTTTACTCATTCATAAATTATCTAAAAATGGTTTTTCCTTAATTTTTGTTTGTTTTTCTCGATTATTTAATCTGGTCTTTTAAATGATCGAATTAGATTCAATTTGCAATCAGAAACCACCCTTAAAGTTAAGGATCTAACTATTTAATCGACTAATCTGAATTCATCAGTCATCATTTACAAACACAAAAAAAAACATTGTAAGGTAGTCTTCGGGCAAATTGTAGTGCTATCTGGTGGTACTATTAAAACGTTAAAATTGGCATTACAAATTTATAGAAGTATTACCTTATCAGTTTATCACTCTTCTATATTCATATTAATGTATTATATTATTATATCTTGAATCTTGAGTCGTGATTAAATTGTTCAAAGTTTTTCCTTTGACCGATGCATGAATATTTAAAAATTAATTCATAACTTTTATTATTGCTTTTGATTTGGTGGATCATGTCTATCAACTTTTACACTAATAACGTGTGTTTATTAGGCATTAAAAATATATTCAAGTTTAAATTACATTCAAAATATATTCATAGATCTGTTGTAGCAAGAAAAATCACTCCTCAAGAAGTATTATTTTTCTAATTTTAGAATACCTACTATCCTATTACTTTAATTATTTATATAATTGTAGGTAACAGCGATTTTAAGCTCTAAAGAACATATTTATGAATTTGAACCAAACTTGGGATCTGTTAAAGCATATGAAACAAATCAACTAGAATCAAATGCTCCGATTGAGGATGCTCGTGCTGAAGCAAAATGTCTTTTAACATCTGGTTGGTATGTTTGAATACATTTTTTTAAAGTTTTTGTTACAGTTTTTTAAATTATTTTTTAAGCTTTTGATTTTAGTCACAGTTATTGTGTTAAAAATAAGTTTTAGTGGCTGATTATAAATTGTCTATTAACATTTTTCGAATTAGTTTTTAAGCTCTGAATTTATGACAGCCAAATTATTTAATCTTCTCATAAAATTATGATTATAATTTATGATAAGACTAATAGGTAATGTCTATATTGAAGCTTGTAGTAGTTGATTTATAGATTATCAGCAATTTATTATTTACAAACATTTAATTTAATTTAAAACTAATTTTTTATCGACTTTACTGCAATGGAATTAAATTATTTAAGAATAAGAGTTAATTTATATGAAGTAGTTTAATATATATGTAGGTATATTTTATATTTTTCATTTTATTATTTTTATTTATAATAAAATGTTATTTACTATTTTAAGATGCATATGTGTTTTGAAGATCTAATATGCTAATCTAATAACAAACCTTATTGAAGATAGTTGATTTAATTGTATTTCAAACATTAATATTAAACTAAAAGGTGTGACTTTATATAAAAATCAATTAGCCAACACAATTGACACCATTATTGCACTTCTTTTTTCTCTTGTTTAAATGATAGTTTCTTTATCATTTAAAAGCTTCTGTAAGAATCATAGTTTCTCTCTCCATTATGATTTATTATTTATTATTATTAAACAAAAAATGTATGTTTAATAAAGATAGGAATATTATATCTATATGTTTAATATCAAAGACTTCAAATCATGTTAATATCAATTTTTATTTAATAAAATCATATATTATATTATTATTTTAATTTTTAGGTATGTTGTTTGGAGTGTTTGATGGACATGGTGGTGCAAGCTGTTCACATGTAATCACTAAACGTTTGTTTGATTATATTTGTGTAAGTTTGTTGCCCAAGCCACTACTTTTGGAATATTTAGAATCTGGTAATCAGCTTGTTGAAATGCGTAATGAGACATTTGATTTAGTTGCTGAATTAAAAACCTTATATGCCCAAAGTTTAAAGTCATATGTACTTAAATTAATAAATGAACGCCAAGAACATCAATTTAAAATGAAAGATGCATTAGAAAAAGCATTTTTGCAACTTGATGAAGATATTATGTCCGAAGCAAGATTAAATACCAATAGTGAAGTTGATAATTTAACATTGAATGTTGGATTGTCTGGATCTGTAGCATGTGTTGCTCATATTGATGGACCTCATTTACACGTGGCTTCAACTGGAGATTGTTTGGCAGTAGTTGGAGTATATACTGATGATGATACATGGATAGCTAAGGTAGATCAATATTTTTTATGCTTTACATTCCTTAGAAATACTTAAGTGTATGTTTAACTAGGTCATGGTTGAGGAACATAATACTGATAATTTAAATGAACTTCACCGTGTGATTTCTGAACATCCATCAAATGAAAAAGACACAGTAATAAAATATGAAAGGCTTCTTGGTCAGCTAGCACCTTTAAGAGCTTTTGGAGATTTAAGGTTGTTAAATTTTAAGTAAATTAAAAATGATATTATTATGAAATATCTTTCATCGTATAATAAGTGTATTGTATTATTATTTGATAATATTTAAAATATTAGGTATAAATGGTCAAGAGAAATGTTATTAGAACACATTGTTCCTAAATTGGGCGAAAATGCAATACCACCTTTTTACTATACACCTCCATATTTGACAGCTAAACCTCAAGTTGTCCATCATCACCTTCAACCCAGAGATAAATTTCTAATACTTGCTACAGATGGTTTGTGGGATTTTATGTCTCCGTTACAAGTAATATAGAGTTTTGTTAATGTTTGGTAATTTATTAAACTCTATGATATCATTGTTTTACAATATTTAGGATAACATTAATAATTATTTTCTAATTAAAATTCAAAAACTACTCCATTTTAGTTTTTTAAAGATTAAAAGTGTAACTAAAGTAATAATTTTAAAATTTTAGGTTGTTCGTTTGGTTGGAGAACACATGAGTGGAAAAGTTACATTGACACCACTTAAGTTACCAAGAAAAAATATGAAATTAAGTGAAATAAATAATTTACTTTTACAAAGACGAGATAGTTTAAAACGAAAACCAGTTGATGCAAATGCATGTACACATTTAATACGTAATGCATTAGGGGGATCAGAGTATGGTGTTGAGCATGCTAAATTATCTCAATTACTAAATCTGCCCAAAAATATTTCTAGATCATTTAGAGATGATATAACTATAACTATTGTTTATTTTAACACTGAATACTTAAGACATCCTCAAGCTTAAAATAGTTAATAAGTTTTCAAATTTTAAATGTGTGTCTAATGATATATTGTTTCATATAAAAAAACTACTATCATTATATTTCATATTTAATTTCAGAAAAAAACTAAATAAATATTAAATGTGTAAAGAATTGGAGTATTATTTATTGAATATAAATTAATTACAAATATAATTTGAATTAGTGATTTACATAATTTGTTTATGGTGGAAGAGGTAATTACCATTAAAATTATTAAAAAATTACTCAGTTAATTCTAATTATATTTAATCTAGGCCCACCAGTGTGTATTTAAATTAGTTCACTGATTGTGACATAAGATACTAAACATTTTAAATTTTTAAGTTTAATTCTTTATTTTTTGTATGACGAAAAAAATATTTTTAATGATAGCAAAATCATAAAAATGAATTAACAAAATACGTGTAGGACTAAATAAAAATATATATATATTTTATATTCATTTGAAATTATACAACAAATGGAATTTAAAGTATTAGTGAATCCATTGATTATAAATATTATAGTATTTATAATCAATGGTAAAACATATATATAAGTTACATTTTTATATCTTCATATTAATAATCAATTATATAAATACATCATTATTTCCATTTATAAGTAATTTATCAAACAAAATGAATTATCATGAATGTGTATAGTATTATAATTAATTGCTAAAACTTCCATTTAAATTTGTAATTAATAATATATTTTAACAGTTTACAAAAACAGTTATTACTTATTTATAAATGAAAATTATTTAATGGAAACCATATTATAATGATATACAGTTAACATAGAAAAAATTACAATATTTTAATTATACTAAATTAAATCATTATACTAAAATATTTGTGATGATTTATTTTTAACTTAGTATTTCATAAGTTTATTTTTATGAACAAAATAACACATTATAGTTGGTTGAGATAAGTAAATGCATACTAATAATTAGTAAAAATGAAAAATCAGTATTTAATAATACTTAAGACAGATTTTTTTTTTATATGTCTGAACTAAAACTTTTGTAGTAAGATTTCTAATTTTTATTATACCATATATTTAGCATTTACCATATACAATTTTTATGTACCTGTTAGAGAGAAAATTTAATTAGTTTTATCTAATAGCTTCATGTAAAATGTATCATAAATATTGAAATTATCTTTGAAGTAGGATTAAAGATTAGAATACAAATTTGCATAATTAAAAAGACTATACATTTTGGTTCAGATAATCTTCATATTTATGCTTGAAAGACTTTTAAAAATAATAGCTCTACTTTTATCACTTATTTTAAACTAGAAATTATAGAACTCCAGCTACCCACCCATTAAAAATTTCAATTTTATTTTCACTCCTTTATTATCGATTCACTATTAAATGTAGTGATACAAGAGTAATGCTAGGAGTTTCATAGCTAATGTCAAAGAAAATAATAAATACATTTTTAACACTGAACTGAATATTTTATTCAGTGCTTTTAAGGTATTTAAATTCAAAACATGAATTTTTACCTAATACAGTAGAGATGACAGAGTATTTGACATATTAAATGTAGTTATAATGTTACTTGATATAATTCCTCAGCAAAGAAAATCGATAAATCTTAAATATACTTTATTTAGGTGGAAAAAACATTTAACTTTAATTATTTTTATAGAGGAATGTATAAAGTAGCGTGCTGCTTTTTTTGGTCATAAAATTAGGTAATTGATTAATTTAACAATTATTTTTTCAGTGGTATTTTCTTTTAAGTAATCAAAGTAACAAAAATATACATAAAGGGTTATAAAAATCAGCCTTGTGAAAATTAGTCAGAAAATAAAAAAATAAAGAATGCATTTATATGTAAAATATAACAAATACCATTTGATTCTTCTAAACAGCAAACAATTCATAACAAGTAAGTTTTTTGATAGTGAAGTCACTTTAGTCATTTAATAGCGACAATAATTTTAAAGCAAGCATATTCTATTCTATTATGGATATAAGTGATATAAGTATACAAATTACTAAGGTATTCTAAAAAATTTCAGTAAATTATACCTTATATTAGAAGTTCTCAAACTATCGGTCAATACTCATAAGTTGTTCTGAATTATATTTTTGGAGAGTGGTGTTGTTTTGAAACCTTTATAACATTTTTAATAAACAACTATAAAAAATATATATAAAAATAAAAAATATATTTAATGAATAAATATAAGTACAGCGAAACCTCTATTAATGGACACTTAAATTCTCTGGCAAAAATGTATGCATATAATAGGAGTTATAACCTTCTAATAATGGACACTCTTAACAGTGGATATAAATACTAAAAACTGATATCAAAATTAAAAATTACCTTTCGTGAATGGACACAATACACGTACACATTGAAAATATTTAAATGATAAAAATACTATATTTAATATTATCCTAAAGGTATTCTTATTCAAAAAATGACAAATGGTTTGGTTACATGTTCAGTCATCAGTTGTGTGCTACACATTGCATGAACTAATCTACGTTAAAATTTTTATAAACATTTTTATACCCACTTTATTATATAAATATTATATGTATGTATATATATATTACATAATAAATAAATATTTCAATACATACCAGTTCCAATGTATTTATAAGTTTATGTATAACAAATTCTTTATTACGTCTCCCAATCATGGATAACTCCCCATAGTGAACATTTTTTAATTCCTAAAGGCCAGGACCACTATATAGAGATTTCATTGTATATGATTAAGTATTTTTTGTTTAATAATATCATACATCAAGGATCAAATTTAGTTTTATCATTATCTGTGATGATTACAAATGTACTATAATATACCAGTGATGTGTTACCATAACACTAACATAATTATGTTATATTAGCAAAATATAAACATTTTCTAAAATAGGTAATATGAAGAAAGCATAGTACATGCTTAGTAAGCATACTATAAACAAAAATTGAGTACATTTTATATAAGTTATAAATAAGGTTATCAAAATAGTCAGTTATAGAAAATTATTGATAAATTATTAAGTAATCAAATTTTGTGGAAATCAATAAATATTTTTAAAAATTGATTAAAAATTAAATTATTTATTATTATATAATATCTAGACAACATATGAAAAATAAAAATAATATAAATAATATGTATAGATGATAAGGATAACATAATAATTAGATACAAAGTTGGAGAAAATAATTTTATTTCTAAAAAAAAAAAATCATGCCTTGATCCATTGAAGAAATATAATTGGTTAAAAATCGAATCATTTTCATCGTGTTTATTTGAATATTTAGAGCCGACTCACCCTTCTTGACCAAAATCCATAGTAAATTTATCCAATTTCTTCATATCATCATCATTCACTGTAGGTTTAGATGTGGCCAATGATCGTAACATATCACTCTATAATAACAGTACATGGTGTAGAAATTCATAAAATTAAAAAACATCAGTTATTTACCATGGACACAGCAGGTTCAAGAAGCTTATCACTGGGGACATCCATAAATGACATTTCAATGGCACCAGGACTACCTGGAGAACATGGTGTTAACAAATCATTCACAATTACATTTGGATCTGCTCGGCTAGGACCAGTTATTCGTTTAAAATGTGTAGCTGTTTGTACTTTACGTACTGGTTGCATTAATGCATCTCTTACAACTATACTGATATCTGCTCCTGAATAACTAATTAAAATAATGCATTTTTAATTAATTTTTTTATAAATTTCATATTAAAAGTATATTTTAGTATAAATACCCTTCAGTTTTATTTGCCAATGTCTTCAGGTCAGCTTCAGTTAGTAAATGGTAGGTATTACCTAAATTTTGTTTTAACATAATCAATCGAGCATGTTCTTCTGGTAAAGGTATGTAAATACGTTTCTCAAAACGCCTGCGTATAGCTGCATCAAGTACCCAGGGAATGTTTGTGGCTCCCAATACAAGAATACCTTCATTATCAGTACCAACACCTGAACAGTAAACATTCAATAATATAAAAATCAAACATTAACATGAATAAGTTAACATTAATACCTTGCATTTGAACTAAAAACTCAGTCTTAATTCGACGAGCTGATTCAGATTCATTATCTGAACGTGATGAACAGAGTGAATCTACCTCATCAATGAATATAATGCTGGGTTTATGTTGTCTAGCTAATTCAAAAAGATTTTTAACAAGTTTTTCAGATTCACCTAACCATTTAGATACAAGATCAGAAGATGACACAGAAAAGAATGTAGAATTATTAGCTTCTGTTGCAACTGCTTTCGCTAGGTATGATTTACCAGTTCCTGGCGGCTAAGATAACAATTAAAATAAATTTTCATATTTTTATTAATGTAATCATTTTTGAAAATATTAAGTATATTCACCCCAAATAATAATATTCCTTTCCAAGGGATTCTTTTGCCAGTGAATAAGTGAGGGAATTTTATAGGAAGTATGACAGCTTCTTTAAGCGCTTCTTTTGCTCCTTCTAAGCCAGCAATATCTGACCATTTTACACAAGGTTTTTCAACAACAATAGCCCCTTCTAATTTATTTTGTAGTTTTTTTGCTTCAGGGTCGTCTCCATCATCATCACTATCATTTTTCTTGTCATCATTTCTTTAAATAATCATGTCATTATTTTCATATTTATATTTTCTTTGAAACAACTTACTTAGAGTTTGACTCTCCAGCTTTAACTGGTTTCTTTTTATTTTTACCATTTTTTAAGTAATCTTTTAGTTTTTCAGCTCTTTCTAAGTATTGAGTACAACGACTTCGTATGCTATCTTTAGCTTTTTCTCCTTGTGTTTCATCTGTTTATTTGAAAATAAAATAAAATATTTTAAAAAGATATAACAACTTTATGTATAATGTATATTAAACTTACATTTTAGAGCATGTAAAAAATATTCAATCCCGCTTTCATATAATTTTAAAGCTTCTTCATAATTTTTATTACGGTCTTCTTCAGTTGCTTTGGTTACTAGATCAATTGCTTTCTAGAACAAAATAAAATCAAAATAATATAAATTTGATTCGGACATGGTTAAATAAAATATACAAAATTAAAGAGAAAATGAAGTATTTTGATAACATAAATAATGTAATTTTTATTAACATCTACGTTTAAAATAATATATTTAAAGCCATCTACCCCACTATCACAATTACAAATTTACAACTACAATATCTACTTAAGATCAAACTTGTAGGTTTTTGAATTAAAATATTATAAGTTAGGTAATCTCAATTTCGATAATTGCATGTTATAAGATAGTAATTACCTGTAAAGTAGCAGATACGGCCATATTATAATCATAGACTAAATTAGGTACCTATAATATAAATTATTAATATTTAGATATTCATTTAATTAGTTAATAGTTATTAATATTTTGAGTTGTTCCATTAAATACTTTTATTTTTATGGAAAATAATAAATATCTAGAAAAAAATTCACAATTGATAAGGATATGCAAGTGCAGTGTAACCAACGGCTGCTAACCTAGTGTTTCTTCCGGACAACAGATGTCGTTATCCCGGGACAGACTCCGGAAAACTACGGCTATTGTCCTATCCAATTGTCTTGGGACAGTGTTTTTCCGTAAAATTCGCATGTAAATTTATGCCGACCTTTGTTTCGAGCCCGGCAACACCGGTGGACATCCACGGTATTTTCCACGAAAACTGTTCATGTTGGATGACCTACTTTCTAAAAGAACTGTCGAGACGGCAAGCCTGCGTTCAACGTAAAGTGGACCTACGGTGTTATTATTATTATTTTTTTTTTCATCCGCAAACCAAATTATTCATTTTCACTTTTTTTTTTTATCTCTCCCCCTAGTGCGAAAAAAAAACAAATTAAGTAAATAAATCCGTCCGCCGCATTCGTCGCAACCCTTCGCGTTTCGCCGTCGTAGTCCGTTCCGTCGTCGGATAGTATAGCGAGACATTAACAACGAAATCGTCATCCGCCGCCGACGTGTACGTAGATAATAGGTATTTTATATTTTTCCGCCGCCGCTGTCGTCCCGGACGGTTGCCGTCCTGTGTCGTTTGTCGTCGCGCCAGTGTTCATAACAATACCGATATTATTATACATATATCTATGTTAGACGAAGTGAAAAACAAGTGCAAGTGAATGACGACGATGGCCTACCGACCTACATTGCCGCTGTGGTGGCCGTCCGTCGGAAATGCATCGGTACGAGCATGACGGCGCAATTGTCGGAGTACGCGACGTCGGGCCCGATGGCTGGCGACGAGAACGGCGGTGGCAGCAGCAGCAGCAACGATAGCGGCGGCGGCGACGAATCCGCCGCCGAACGGCGGGTGGTGATGATAGCGTTCAAAATGGAAAACGATTGCGATGGCGAAACAACCGCCGGACCGTCGCGAGACGACTCAAACTCGGAACCGCACGCCATGGTGCTGCAGCAGCAGTCGCCACCACAGTCGTTCTCGTCGGACGGCAATACAGCTGGTAAGACGGCGTACATTTAATTGTATTTATAGTTTTATGTGTATAATAATGCGTTGCGATCCCGGTCGAGGGTGTTTTCCTCCGTCGCGGAAAAACAACGTGTACGTTGTTGCCGGACGTCCGGGTCATGTATTTCCTGGACGGGGCGGGCGCGCGGAGCAACACTTTCTCTTTTCTATCTCTCCGCCGCCGCTGTTAGCTCGGTCCGCTCGCCCGTCATCGCTGCCGCCGCCCAGCGTTCGTATCGCATTTGTCGTGCGGTGCACCCTTCGGTGTCGCTGTCGGCCGTCGTTTGAATGGCATGCGGAGCCAATGGATGCTTATCTCGTCAGGCAGATAACTGCTGCCGCCGCACTTCACCTGTTGTTGTTTGGGTAGGTAGGTAGGTAGGCGGGCGGGCGGGGTGACCTTTTATTGGTCAAGTTCATCATGCACGGGCACCGCGGAGCCTTGACTGTGGACACGGTGATTAGCTATTTTGGGTCCACGCGGTCGCCGGCTTCGACTATGTGTACGGTGGTGGTGGTGGTGGTGGTGATGATGGCCAGCTCGGTGGGAGTCCCGAAGATGTTTACGTTTGTCTGTGATGTACCGTTTTCACCTGATACGCAATACAATGGGGGCCAACGCGTTAACGGGACGGTGAGTTGGTGAAGGGTCCGTACGTGCTGCGCGGCGGTGGTTGTTTTTTCTGCGTTCTTTGGTCGGCGGAAGTGCGTGCACCGGTATTGTTGCGAGACATCAGTCGCGCAATTCCGAAACGCGTCGTTTGTCGTAGCCCGCCCAGAAGCGATTATTTTCCTATTTTTCCTTTCACGTTCTCCCCTTCCCGTGGTTTTAACCGTGGTCCCGGTCCTGGTTTATCGCAGAATACATTTCTAAGGTAGTAGTAATAGTAGTGATATCCGATGGCCCGGAACCTTTGGACGAAAATAAAATACGTTCTTTGTATTATCGTGTGTGTTTAGTACTATAATGTTACTACTTCGTGTATACCGTATAGATTTTATCGCATTGAATTAACTAAAACGCGGACAACGGAGAGGATCTACTCTTTCTCATCCGCTTGATTTAAAATTTTTAACTGTCTGTCTCGTTTTACTGTGAGAGGTGTACAATTGATGATATTCGTATTGTGTGACTTGGATCATCGCTCCCGGGTCAGAAGCTACTTATCGGTCATCATCTATCTCTCATCTTTTATTATCATTGATATTTAACACATGGACGTGGAATTCCTTTATTCATTAAACGTACACTCTTCTTAGGCCAACATGACGAAGACAGAAACGACGCTTCTTACTCGAACAGAGACTTCTAAGTGATAAATAAATAAACTGATATTTAAACAAAAGAGAAAAGAGATGTTATGGTGCTACAATAGTATCAGTTGTGTTTTCATTCATACATTTAATATCAATGTTTATTTTATGACACAAAAACTGGTTTGAAATATCATTTATTGTCAATAAACAATCATTGGTGTTGTGTATAGTTAGGACTTAGTAGTAATCAGTTGATAGTAGTATCTTAGAAGTAGATAGTTAAGATCATAATAAATAAAATAATATATTTCGGACTTTATTTTAGGAGATACCAATTGCTGTTGGATACACGTGATATTTTGTTTGTTATTTTAAACGATCTTTTACGAAATAATTAATATACATTTATTAAATTAATCGTAATAAGTAAAGAGTCGATGTTTAAGAATTTCATGGTTTTCTACAACAACACGTCTATAATTATGCTTAGGTTTATTTAGAGTTATTTTAAACGAAAAATACGTTTTGTTGATTATCAAACAAGCATCGGAATTGATTTAGTAAGTTCATTTAATGTCATAGGTGTTAACAATTTTAAATAGGCAGATTTATCATTAAATTACTATTGATATAAGTCAAGTTCTATTAAAATTATTCATAACTTCCATATTAATTACTAAAAATACTATGTTATTTTATATCTGTTTTAGTAATAAAAACAAATTTAAATTTAAACATTTTTCTAATATACTTTGCATAGTTTTAGCACAAGTACAATGCCTATTTTGATAAATAAATCGTTATTATTCAAAAGATAATGTATAATGTTTATACCTACTTAATAAACGTTAGTCAAGGCATCCTTTTAATCATATTAAAATATTAACTAAACGAGTATAGAATAATTTTTCTTATTCAATGTAGTAAGAAAAGTATGTTGATCAATGGGGTTTTTTTTTATAAAAGATTAAATTAAAAATATTTATAGAAGAAATTAAATACTTATTTTTAACTTTTTAACTAGGTACCACCTACTCATATATATTTGGAGTTATTTAGTAGGAATATTTAGTAATAAGTAGGTATTTATTATTCTAATGTTATCAATTAAAAATAACTTTTAATAATCTGTACAGATACATCGAAAAGCCAAAAAGGTATATAGATATGAACAATATTTTGTGCTGTATACATTTGCAGTATTGAATACAAATGAAAACTTAACTTGTACCTATTGAATTTTATTTTACGAGTACCTATTTAAAATATTAAAAAAATAAATATTTATTAGTTAAATTTTAATCACTTTTTTATGTAGGTAGTGAATTAAGAATTTTTAAGTATGGGCATGTTAAAAGGATAAAAATTAAAAACTAATTTTTTGAATATTACTGTAGCATAAATGTCTTGTATTTGTTGTTCTGAGTATACGGAATAATTCATTTAATATTAAGACGCACTCATTTATTCAGAAAAATATTAACGTTTTTGAATTTATTTATTTTATATAATTATAAGCCACTACAATAAAATATTTGTTTTTTATTATCGTTTATTATCAATTTTTAAGTTGTCTACTCTTTTGAACGACAACATATACCCATTATCAATTTAATTTTCCAAGTAGAGTATTAATTGAAGTTATTGGGTCCATAAAGTCAAATATTAGATAAGTAGTTTATTAGTTAAAAGTATTTAAAGCTTAGACGAACGAAGTAGCGGGCTAACATATTGTTAGTACATATTTATTATAGCATTCTGGAGTAGTTTATCTAAACTTTAAATATTTACAAACCATTCACTACTCATCTAAAATTATATTCTTACATATTGAAGTATTTGAAAAAAGTATTATTTTTTGAAAAAATGTTGTTAACGACTTAAAATTGAGTAAAATAAAATATTTTTAAAAAGTTGATATGTTTTTGAAACAGCGAGTGTGTTACTCGGTATACAGATACAAAAATATTAGTAGTTAGTCAGGCATGTATGTTTTATTTATGTAATTATATTTTAGATTACTTAAAAAATAAAGTAACACTGATCAATAATTATATTTTTATAAAAACGATATTTCAATTTTGGTTATGACGTACGTGTTGCTCAATGAATTATAATATAACGTTTGAATTGTTGACCCACAACAGTTAGTATGATTTCCCCTACTAATTCTATAGCAGGGAGAAAAGATTATTATTGGATGCATCCGGACTTAAATTGACCAAGTTATGCTTTGATATTAAAGGTTAAAATACAAACTAATAGTTCATGGCCTAATCTTAAACATATCCAATATATCAGAATATATCAGTACCTAGGTAAACTGTATACGCACCAGTAAAATATGTAAAAGCTATAATAAACATATCATAATTTTTAACATTCTGATATGTAAATTAGGGTTTAGAATTGTTATATTAATAACCTATTTTAAATTATTGTATTAGGGATTATATTTTTATGAAAATGCACAATTTTATTATTAAGTTAAATAAGTAGACATTAGTTACTGTTTTTAAATAACTAATGTAATTATTTATTAAAAGATATGTAAAAGTAATAATTTATTTTTTCTTATCTAAATTTTATAAGTAATTGATATAGTTTAATAAAGCGAGTTAAGAAATATACAAATAAATATTTAATTACTTAAAAAATGTAGTTTATTTTAAAAACACATTTATAAAGCTTTGTTTTAAAATTTTTTTTTGGTATCAACTAGTTGTTTGTTATTTCCTCGTCTGTGTTATTATTATTATACGACATACTATATTAATATTTTAATTAATACTCAATATTTTTATTTTTGTAAATCGTATTACGTTTAATAATTCTTAACATAGTGCTATATAGTACTGCCAATAGAGTCTAGACAAATTTAAATAGGTAAATATATGAATTTTTCTTCCCAAACGATAAATAGTAGAATAAGGTACCCGCAGCGACGTATAATTGGATAGCTTTTAAATTGATTTGTATATTGTATAACATATTAGCTGTATAAATAATTAAATTTTATTTAAATGTATACTAATATCAGCGCATTGAAGGTAAAACTATACAAAATATTAATCATAATGTTTAATTTTGGCTGTACATTTATTAAGTGTTTATGAGTATTCTGGGGAGTATTTTTTTTAAGACTTGCGCAATGACGTGAAACATTTAAAATTATTCATTAAAGCGTGCTCCCAACTTATTAGAATACTGATTTCAACATAACTACACGCTTGTCTAAATTTCGCGTTAGCTGTGGTGAAGTTGAACTTCGTTGTATTGCGGTACCACGTGATTAATTTACTAAGGTTTTACTTAGCACGTCGCGGTTGGGACCGAAATATAGAAAAATGATGACGCGGAATGAAAGTGACGAGACTATCAAATTTTGTTTATTTGATTTAATTATTCCCCGTTAACATTTTTGATATAGATGATACAACGAGATTCGTGACTATTGCGTATACGCAATACATTGAACTATTCATATATTTATATGGACTTATCTTGAAATATTTGTGTAGTTTAAAAAAGTATAAAATTGTACTGTGAAATCATCGATAATGTTCACAATGCTCAAAATATTATAGCCGTTATAGGTATACTGTAGAACTTAGTTATATTATTTTAGTCAATAGTAATCATTACATTATTGTATATTATATTTGTTTGATACAAAATCGGATCTAAAAGTTGTATGACTTATTTAGACCACTAAGATAATAATATACGATAATA